TGTTTACCTACAGAAACAGCTGAAGTCTTTGTTTACCTACAGAAACAGCTGAAGTCTTTGTTTACCTACAGAAACAGCTGAAGTCTTTGTTTAACTTACAGATCAAAGTGTTTCTGATCCAAATAAGTTTCTGTTTGAAAGTAAAATGTATAAAACTTCTAATCATCAGAGTTTAATATAAATATTTGATTATAAAATTATTTCCTGATAATCCAGATTAACTCAGAGTTTTTAAAGCAGGTAAATCTGGTTACCTGGAGGACTTCCGGTCACTCAGAGCTCGTGGACTCACCCTTTCTCTCCTTTGTTGAGGAACTTCTGGACTTCTTTCACTCCTCTCCGGATGTTTTTCACTTTAGCGGCTGGAACCAAAGACTGGGGTTAAATCTACTTCCGGTCAGAGGAAGAACTGAAGACTAGACCCTGCAGGACCTGGACTAAAGCCCCGGACCCTGAAGGTGTTTTTACCCTTTTTGACGCATTTGTAGAGCTTCTTGCTGAGCTTCCTGGAGGCCAGCGGCTGGGAGATCGGGTTCAGGTGGGCCACCAGCTCCTGGTAGGTTCTGTCGGAGCCTCCGGCCGCCGGAGCCGCTTCCTCCTCCGGGTCCGCKTTCTCCTTCTTCAGCTTGGTCATTTCTGATCACTGGTCGGTAAATCAGTCCGTTCTCCACGCGCACRGACAGACACAGCACGTGCTTCCGCTGAGAGAAACAACAGAACTGACGGGACTAACAGCGCCCCCAGCGCCCCGGAGCGGAACTGCAGCGGAACTCTTCAAAATAAAGCTAAGCTTCATTTCGCTATAAAACATTGTTTATAAAACATATAAAATATAAAGCTTTTTAAAAAATGTAATAAAAACGAACATTATCTTTAAGTTAATCTAAAAAATGTTGTTTTGTTGTAAAACAGTTAATTGAAATAACATGATGGTGTTAATTTTGAAGAAGTGTGAATTACACTAATATTTAATAAAACTCACATTTATATTAGTATTTATTGTTTATGAAAGTGGTCAAACAAACACACAAAAACAAAAAGGTATATATTTTTAAAGGTTTTACTGAACAATCAATGATGTAAACATAAAAACATGTAAAAGTAAAACTCTTAAAGTGAAAAAATAAATAAAATATTGATTACTTAATACATGAAATTCATTAGGTTAGTTGTATTTAACCTTTGACCCTGAGATTTAGACGGTTCCAGTCAGTTTTTTCACAGGTTTCTGCTTAAAAAACACAGTAAAACAGTAAAAACACAGTGTTTATAAATATAACAGGATTATAAGACCACAAACTGTAGAAAGACATTTTGTATTCACTTAAAACAACAAGAATCAAATTGTGATGCAGGTCAGTGGATTCTGGAGCTGTGATATCATGATGATGTCATCACCTAATGAGGATGTTGTCCTTTAACATCGAGGTCATCACCTAAAGACGAGGTCATCACCCAAGGATGAAGTCACCACCTAATGATGAGGTCATCACCTAAAGACGAGGTGATCTCCGTATGATGAGGTCATCACCTAAAGACGAGGTCATCATCTAACGATGAGATCATAACCTAAGAATGAGGTCATCCCCTAACAATGATGTCATCACCTAAAGATGAGGTGATCTCCTAACCACAAGGTCATCACTTAATGATGAGGCCATAACCTAATGATGAAGTCATCACCTAACAATAAGGTCATCACCTAAAGATGTGGTCATCATCTANGATCATAACCTAACAGTGAGGTCATCACCTAATCACCTAACGATGAGGTCATCACCTAATCATCTAACGATGAGGTCATCACCTAATCAACTAACGATGAGGTCATCACCTAATCATCTAACGATGAGGTCATCACCTAATCAACTAACGATGAGGTCATCACCTAACGATGAGGTCATCACCTAACGATGAGGTCATCACCTAATCACCTAACGATGAGGTCATCACCTAACGATGAGGTCATCACCTAACGATGAGGTCATCACCTAATCATCTAATGATGAGGTCATCACCTAACGATGAGGTCATCACCTAACGATGAGGTCATCACCTAACCAACTAACGATGAGTTCATCACCTAACGATGAGGTCATCACCTAATCACCTAACGATGAGGTCACTCAGGACGGTGGGCAGCTGTCTCTTCTTCATCTCTGAGGCCATCTGACACCAGACACAGGGCAGACAGAAGGTGGAGCACAAACAGTCCTCACACAGGTTACCCTGAAACACACAGACCATGTCAACAATCGAAACAAACAACACAACAACACAACACGAACTGCCCTGAGTTTGGACTTTTGTCTAAGTGCAGAGCTTCTGATGCAGAGGGGGCGGGGCTGAATCCAGACTTGTTGTCCTCACCTTGATGCCGTAGCGGTGACGCATGGACACCCTGATGGACATGGTGATGGGATGGAGACAGTCCAGGGCGTCCAGCAGAGGGAGACACAAACACTGACCGAACTCTTTAGTGGTTCTGCAGGCAAAACAGGGACAGCACCAGAACGCACAGCAGCCTGGAGACAGGTAGAAGATCACCATCATCATCATCATCATCATCATCACCATCATCATCATCACCATCATCATCACCATCAACACCATCATCATCATCATCATCATCACCATCATCATCATCATCATCACCATCATCATCACCATCATCATCACCATCATCATCATCACCATCACCACCACCATCATCATCATTACCATCATCATCACCATCATCACCATCATCATCACCATCATCATCATCACCATCACCATCACCATCATCATCATTACCATCATCATCACCATCATCACCATCATCATCACCATCATCATCATCACCATCACCATCACCATCATCATCATTACCATCATCATCACCATCATCACCATCATCATCACCATCATCATCATCACCATCACCATCATCATCATTACCATCATCATCACCATCATCACCATC